TGACTCACCAACCTGTGAGAAAAATTTTGACCCTTCTCATCTTTCAAAATAAGAAACTTCAAGTCCTCGCTTTAATTGCCAGCTAACAAAACTCATTGCATTTACCTTCAAAAAAAGCAATTTATCTATGAAAAATGCGATTTCCAACAAACTGAAAGTGAAGCAAATATGTCAATGATTCCTTCTCACCCACAGCCAACTAAAAAATTCCATTATGGCAATGCTAACCAAATAATTTAACCTCTGCTTAATTTAACTCTCAAAAACAGATGTCTAGGAAAACTCCCTAATCTCTCTTTTCATTAGAAGCTGCTAATAATAACTGAGCTTTTAAACTGCCAAAATGAATTCCTGCCACAAAAATTCAAGAATTTCATTACATTTTAACAAACTTGATTAATTTAAATTCATTTGCCTTAATTTAAATTTTGCAGCAGATACCTGTCTTCATGGTCAACAGTGTGAATAAATGCATGACTTATGGTATATTTTATACTTATGGTTATATTTTTGAAGAAATTTGATATACTGGTGAAGTTTGAAGAAATTTATTAGCAAATATAATTAGATGTTCATTCTGTTCTTGTAACACAGTAAAATGATTTTGCTTTTACACATTTCATGCTATCTTCCATTAAAATACCATACTCTTCAGCTTTTTGGAATCCCTTGTTCAGCTTCTAGTATCAAAAAGTTGATAATTGTTATTGTCCATATATGTTAAGCAATTTCAGGAGTATTGATCATAATCAGTCCTTTCATAATATAGAATACTTCCATAATGTTGCTAACCATTTCAGAATCATTTGTACTTTATCTTTTTTTCTTTATATGCACATCACTTATAAAAAGCTTTTGATTTATTCCAAATAGATTCTGAAGAAAAATGCTCCTTCACGCAAAAATTTGTTACAACTCTATTTGCTTAGTCTTTACAAACATGAAGATTACACACTTCTCACTATAAGCAAGTAATTCCAAAGCAGTGTGACTGACAGAGTTGTTCTCAATCACACATATGCATTATGCTCTGCTCTCAACAGCTGCCAGTCACCATACAAAATGATCTCATTATATTAACACTATAATTAAGACACAATAACACGCCGAACAAATACTAATTCAGAAATCAAACAACAAAAATCAGCGTTATATTTTCAAAATTTTCACGGGACTAGTTTCGATGGTTTTACCGAACCACCATCTTCAGCTGCAAAACTGCAAATAAACAAGATAGGAAATAATGATTATAATAGTTATACTAGATTATAGATAAGGTAAGAAAGCCTGGACAAGAATAAGCAAGTGGCAAGTAAACACGTAACACTAAAAACACTGTTAAAATTGCCGTTTTGTTGCTCAGTAACAAATTTCACTAATCAAATCTGTGATTAGTATGACACAGATATATCAGGCAATTAATTAAACATACCTTATATGACATATCTGTAGATAATAACATTAAACACTGCATAAGTGTGAAAGTGCATAAGAGTTAACTCTAAACACTGCATAAGTGTGATAAAGTGCATAAGAGTTAACTCTAAACACTGCATAAGTGTCACAAATAAGTGCCGTTTAGCCCCGCAGTAACAAATTGCAATTATCCCTACTCCGATTAGTATGACACTTATACTAATTCAGAAGTCAAACAACAAAAATCAGCGTTATATTTACAAAATAATTTTCACAGAACTAGTTTCGATGGTTTTACCGAACCACCATCCTCACCTGCAAAACCGCAAATGAACAAGATAGGAAATAATGTTTAGATAAGATAAGAAAGGACAAGAATAAGACAAGTGGCGCCATCTGTTGGTGAAACCAGAACTAAAACATAAATTCTTTAAAGGCCAAAAGCAAATTTGGATTGGAATTAGGATCGTTAACTAGAACAGAAAGATTTTCACAAACGTGAAATGCCTCTAGAAAATCCAGTTCTCCAATGGAAGATGTTTTTTGAATAATTTTGGCAGCAGAAAAATTGAAAGTGTGATTTTCGGACCAACAATGTTGAGCAACAGAAGACTTCTGTGTTTCCTTTTTTCTAACATATGCCTCATGTTCCTTGACGCAAAATTTTAAGGCTCTCTTAGTTTGGCCAGTGTAAATTAAACCACACTGGCAAGGAATCCTATAAATACCCCAGGAATTCATATCCGGAATGGGGTACTTGAGTAAGGAACACGGAATTTTATTGATGGGAGAATAAACGACCCGAAAGTTAAATTTCTGAAAAATATGTGCAACTTTATAGCTAATCGATGGAAAGAAGGGAATGACAACAGAAATTTTATAATCTCCTAAAACAAGAGTGTGCCTTTTAGTGTGTTGAGGTGAGAATTTTTTAACTGCTTGATTAATAATGTTGGGTGAAAAGCCCCTGTCAATAGCTATTGCTTTTAAATAATTTAGTTCTTCATCAAGGGCTAGTTTTGAGGAGCAAACTTGAAGAGCACGGAAAACATAGGAATAAAATGAAGATAATTTTGTATAGTCGGATGACATGATTTTAAGTGTCGTGGAAGGCAAACCGATGAAGGTTTATGGCAAACTGTAGTACTGAAGTTGGATGTGTTACGTGTGACCAGAATGTCGAGAAACGGAAGAGAATTGCAAGTCTCAAGTTCAAAAGTGAACTGAATAGCAGGATCAATACAATTCATTGTTGAAAGAACTTTATTTAAATCATCTTTATTACCTTCAAACAGGGTAAAAGTATCGTCTACGTAGCGGAACCATGCCGAGAAGTTTAAAGTTTCAAACAATTTTGATTCATATTAGCCAGGATGGGACTAAGGAAGCTTCCCATGGCTAATCCTCAGTTTGTTTGTAATATTTATTTTGGAAAACAAAATGTGTTTGTCTCAAACAGAGTTGAGTGATAGAAATTAGCTCGTCAATTTCGATGCAAGAGAAATGACATTCGCAAAGTCTGGTTTTTAAACATCTTAATGCACCTTCCACTGGAACATTGGTGAATAACGATTTTACATCAAAAGATGTGCATGTGTATTTTAATTATGGCAAAGCACACGAGGGCTATCTGCCTAAGGGAAGGGATGCCTTCGTGGAGGACTTTCTAAGGGAAACTGGCTAGTATACACGTTACACATGGGGAAAACCACGAAAACGCCCATGTACACATCAAAAGAAACCATGAGTAAATGTCCAGGAGAAATGTTTCTAACCTTTTCTACAAACTCTATTGAATTTTTATGGTGCAAATGTTATTGTCTAATAGAGTTGAAAATCTAGAAACTAAGTTTAGAATGGATACGAGGCAGTACCTAAATTTGATACAATAGGGCGGAAAGGAATACCACTTTTATGAATTTGGGGAAGAGCATATAATCTGGCGCAATTCGCAACAGATGGGATAAGCGAATGTTTTAAGTTCTCTTGCGTCGAAATGGATGAGCTAATTTCTCTCACTTAACTCTGTTTGAAACAAAAACATTCTTTTTTCCAAATAAATTCTATTGATCCTGCTACTCAGTTCACTTTTGAACTTGAGACTTGCAATTCTCTTCTGTTTCTCGACATTCTGGTAACACGTAACACATCTAACTTCAGTACTGCGGTTTACCGTAAACTTTCATCGATTTCCTTCTATGACACTTTAAATCATGTCATCCGACTAAACAAAAGTTAGCTTCATCTTATTCCTATGTTTTCCATGCTCTTCAAATTTGCTCCTCCAAACTATCCCTTGATGAAGAACTAAATTATTTAAAAGCAATAGCTATTGGGCTTTTCACCCAACATTATTAATCAAGCAGTTAAAAAATTCTCATCTCAACACACTAAAAGGCACACTCTTGTTTTAGGAGATTATAAAAATTCTGTTGTCATTCCCTTCTTTCCATCGATTAGCTATAAAGTTGCACAAATTTTTCAGAAATTTAACTTTCGGGTCGTTTATTCTCCCATCAATAAAATTCCGTGTTCCATACTCAAGGACCCCATTCCGGATATGAATGGGGTATTTATAGGATTCCTTGCCAGTGTGGTTTAATTTACACTGGCCAAACTAAGAGAGCCTTAAAATTTCGCGTCAAGGAACATGAGGCATATGTTAGAAAAAAGGAAACACAGAAGTCTTCTGTTGCTCAACATTGTTGGTCCGAAAATCACACTTTCAATTTTTCTGCTGCCAAAATTATTCAAAAAACATCTTGCATTGAAGAACTGGATTTTCTAGAGGCATTTCACGTTCAAAAAAATCTTTCTGTTCTAGTTAACGATCCTGATTCCAATTCGTCTCAGCCTTCGGCCTTTACAGAAATTATGTTTTAGTTCTGGTTTCATCGACAGATGGCGCCACTTCCTTATTCTTGTCCAGGCTTTCTTACTTTATCTAATCATTATTTCCTATCTTGTTTATTTGCAGTTTTGCAGCTGAGGATGGTGGTTCGGTAAAACCATCAAAACTAGTCCTGTGAAAATTTTGAAAATATAACGCTGATTTTTGTTGTTTGACTTCTGAATTAGTATATTTACACTAGTTTGAAATTTTTAAGACAGACGATTAAATGTGACATAACCTCTAAGAACTATATTGATTTTATCTCGAATTTACCTGAAAGGAAACAAAAGTATCTAGTTTAGCCAAATGGTGTGAGTGAGTGAGTGAGCGAGTTTTTTGGCGCAAAACCAAAGATGATTATGAAGCGCCAAACAAAAGGTAGGATGACCTAATTTTATGAAATCAAATGCTTATTAATAAAAAATTTTAAAAAGATACCAAATCCAGTCAAATGGTATGATACTCAGTCCATTTTTGTAGGATATTCTTTGCCTTTCAAAACTCATTTATACAAGCTTAATTACAAATGAGCCTTTCTTTTCCTCACACAACATTATAAAAAACTTAGGGTTACTAATTTTTGGGCAACAAAAATGCATAGTTCGTGCACCAGCATTAAAGCTTCATTCTAAAGGAAAAAAAATATTTTTTACTTAATTCTAGATTGTTATTACACATTACTTATGCATACCTAAACTAACATTCACTTGCATCTTCTTCACCCCAACCTTCACTATCATCCTCACTCTCTGACGAATCAGAGTCAGAAAATTCCATGGCAACTCTTCTAGCCAAAATTGAAGCAACATCATGTAAAGGAGCAGCTTTTTCTACTTCTTTCTGCTTTATATCTTCCACTCTGCGGAGTTTTATGCCTATAATAAAGAACAGAAACATATTAAATCATGTTTATTATTTTTAAATATTAATAAATTATTGAAGACTTTAAATGATTAAATTTTTAAGGCAAAAAATAATCATAACCTCAGTAAGTAAACATATTGTGTGATAAAGAGATTTATGTTCAGTTACTGAGATACAAAGGATTTGTTTTTAATTTTAGCAATTTTATATCAACATTTAAAGAATGAAAATATAGTCTGGTAGTTACTCTTTACTTTATTAAAAGAAAATTATTTTTATTTATTTAATTAATTTTTGTTTATGATAAATTAAATATATAATTAATAACTTATGTGATATGTAAGTATCGGACTTTAATGAAAGTTCCTGCTACGGTAAGTACTGTCTGTGCAAATAGTTCACTTCGGCGTATTTAATTATATTTTGTCAAAGGATTTTTGGCATTTCAAAGAAAGAGACTTGCTTTGAAATGTTCTGAAATTTGTAAAAAAATATTGGTATCATTAAGCACAAGGTATTTGAAATGGAATTATCGTGCTACTAGATTAGAACCATCATTTACTTCCAGTTCTCTTGCAAAAAGTAAGCTATAAAATGTCGCCAAATCATGTGTGCAACTTTAGACACTAATGTTGCATCATATGACTCTGTGAAGGTTTGGTACCAAAAGTTCAAAAACAAGGACTATAACATTCAAAAAGTAGAGTGCTCTGGCTGATGTTGAGGCCCACGTGCGAGAACTTGAAGAAGAAAATCAGTATGCAACCACTCGAGAGCTTGCTAAGGAGTCAGACATCAGTGCCATGTCCATTAGTTGCACTATGCATCGCATAAACTTGATGTACAAGTTCAACTGCTACATGCCACACAAGCTGACTCAAGGAGATAAGGACGTGTTCAAGCCTGCACTAATCTGCTCAAATATCAAGGCAAGGAGAAATTTCTAGATCGGACAGTTACTTGCAATGAAAAGTTGATTTACTTCAACAACACAAGCCAAAAAGGGGACTGGTCTATGACACTGCTATCAAGGAAAAACATCGAACTGAATTCAGGTGCAAAAAGGTAATATTCCATCAAGATAATGCAAGATCACTTCTGTATTCACCAGCTGGACTCTAAAGGGACTCGAATGGAATTTTTTTATGTATATAGACCCGACATTGCGCTTTCACACTTCTACCTTTTTTCACACCTGCAGTTACATCTTGCAGGTGCTATCTTCCATTCTGCACAGGATATCTAGAATGAGATTGATCTGTTTTGAGACTCACAGTCACCAAATTTCTGGGTCAAAAGCCTTAAAAAAATACCAAAAATTGGCAGAAAATCATAGATTTGGTTGGTGATTACTACCTGCACTAAAGGTCCTGCTTCCATAGTTCCCCCCCCCTAGCTTTATTAAATTAAGAACTTTTGGAGGGGCGGAAAATCTTCATTACAACCAGATATTTTGACTTCATTTGTAATATAGATAGTTTATAAACTTGAGTAAAAAAATTGTCAATCATACATATTTTTTCAATTAATCTATGTTAATAAATCAATAATTAGGGTCATTTTGTTTTAGTCATATTCTTTCTTGGAAAATATAGAGCATTCCAAATTCTCAGAGCAAAAATCTTTGATCGCATGAAAGATGAATTTATGTCGACTTTGCATGAGTATTTATTTTGTTATGTCAAGTTAATGCGGTCCTCTCCCCATCTTTTTTTAGTGGAAGAGGGTAGTGTAGTATATTAGATTAAATAAAAATATGAAAAAGCACAGAGTTATCCACAATGCTGACTTATCCAAGGGTTGAAATACAGAGGTTCCACAATATTGCACTATTCTGAAAAGATGCAGATTTTATTACCATTACACATACATAGTATAATGATCATGTCTAAAACCACCAATTCTAAAAGTGACCAATATTTCTCAAAAAATAAAATATATATAAAGATAACTGACACCTTATACATTCTCAAAACATAACCGACCATCACATTTCTAATAAAACACCTTCCACAGAAGACTGAAATCATTTGGAACTGATGGATAATCAGTATTAAGATTTCTTGGCAAGTTTTTTTAATCTTAATTTAAAAAAATAAATATTCAATTAAAGCTTTTTGATAGGCTTGCAAACAATTTATAATTACTTTTTTCTTGTTAAACATATTTAACGGTTCCAAATACAATATAATCTCCTCAAAATAGATTATTCAAAATAAGAATTTATACATCGCTTTTTTTTTTTTTTTTTTTAATTAGACAGATAACCTGAATTAGCATGCATTTACATAAAGTATTCTCTTTAATATGATTAATGAAAACATTTTTAGAGCTTCATCTCATGAGACAATAACATATACATATATTAAGGCTTACATTCTTTATATATTTATGGTTAGTTTATGGAAAAAGTCACTTTTTGGCAATCTTATAAATTAATATTTCTAAATAATGAATTAAAAATATATATATAATATCAAACTAACCTTCTCGGATTGCAGCCAGAAGGTCACTCCTCCCATCTCCTTGGGCAGGAGACCTAGATTTGGAGTCTGTCTCATCGCTCATCTTACTGGAACCTGTACTGGTAGATTCACATGCTTCCTGCATTCTAAGGTCAGAAACTCTACTCATTACAGAAACAGTTCCTGTATCAGAGGGAATGGGTGGTGGAGGAGGTGGTAAAACTGCATTATGATTAGCATTTGGTGGGGGAGGAGGAGGTGGTGATGGGGGAGGGATTGTTGTTTCTGCATTAGTGCCATCTGGCATGGGAGGAGGGGGTGGAAGATCTAGAGAATCTGAAGTAATGCTCAAGGAGTCTGGCGGAGGTGTATGGTCCCTTGCAAGTGACATATGATTTAGTAAATGAGGATGATGATTTAATGTATCTCTACGAGACCCTTGACTTATACGACCGTTATTGGTAGCCAGAGCAACCATTGGCACAGGTTTTTGTGTTAGATACATAGGAGCCATATGGTTAGGCTGATATCCATTCATTAAAACTGCATCGGGAGGAGGAGGAGGGGGTGGAAGAGTTTCCCTTGAATGACTTCCTGATCTATATCGGCCTGCTCCACTCGAAGGTGTTCCCCCAGCAGAAATAGGAGGAGTCGAGGTCCCATTTGATCCTGTTACAGGAGGAGCAGGTGGTGGCTGTGATGGTCTTGAATTTGCTCGACTCTGTCTTGTGGGAGTGCTGTTGTTGGAAGATGTTCTATGCTCAGGAGAATTCACTGAGTATGGTGGTGGTGGTGGGTAATGCTGTGCTTGAGCTATATTTTGCTGTGGATAGGCTTGAGTTTGATATTCTGAGTATGCAGGAGGAGGGGGAGGGTAATTATTCACCGGACTCCCATAACTTCCATCTTGTTCTAGGTATGGCATATGTAACTCAAGGCTGTTGGGTCTTACTGGGGCACCATCTGTTCCATCGCTAACTAAACTTGGAGTTCTAAGGGTGGTATCACTATAATTTGACAAAGGATAATTATGCTTATCAATAAAATCTTGTGTACATGCCATCATTCTATACTTTTCTCTTGTATTATGAGGTTGTCTTACTTTCTTGTGTCTCTTACCTCCATCAGGCCTTGGTCTGTGAGGCTGGAAATAATAATAATTGCTTTAAGATGAAATATGTATGTACATGAAAATATGCAACAATTACAGCTGAGAATAAGTAGCATATGCTTGAGCATAATAAATGTCAAAATGCTCAAACCTAAATTCCATAAGTTATAATATGAAAAAAAAAATAGGGATTTCATCCAAATCATTGTGCACAAAAATTAGACAAACGAAACAGAAACATCCATAAACATTGAAGTACACATTAAGGCCATCAAATATTCACTAATTATTATTGACTATATTTAGATTTAATCTAAAATTAAAATATAATTTTATCAAATAAACATAAAACTCAATTTATTAAACAATACAGTAAAAACTTGACTATTCGACATTCATCTAACCAGAATATTTTAGAATAACAGAAATTTTACCCCTCTGAGAGATTTTTTAACTTCATTACAGAATTATTAATAATATTAACAGTGTGTAGCATATATTATTGTCAAACAGTGTGATTTAGCACCAATAATGAATAAGCATGACATCACAGTAGAATTATAAAAAGTTCATTTTGTTTCAATTTAAACTCAATTTAAGTCTTGATAAATCAGTTTAATTTTTATAAAGAAGAATATAAGTTCAATTTTTTCCCTTGCATTTTGAAAAAAATATATATATATTTGCCACAGCATGAAGCGGTGTATTTTCAAAATTATGAAATTGGACATCAAAATAGCCATGATACTATACTTTGAAAACAGATTAAAAATGAAATTTAACAAGAAAAATTATTACAAATGATTTGTTTTTTAATATGCTGATGCCATAATTTGTATCTCTTTTATTATCTAACTAAATAAAGAATGACCTGTTCGCTTAAACTTTTGTCAGAATGATGGGTGACACCTTTGCCAACTTTCACATTCAGTGGGATTTCATAATTGGATTAAATGTTTTACTTTCATGGACCACAAAATACCTCAGCCTTTATATATGAAAAACTTTTTTTTTTTTTTTTTCAAAATTTTATATAATTTGAAATGTAGGCTTTTGATAGTCACGCTGATAACAAATATTATGATGATTGTTTAATAGTTTTTAACATTTATTCGGCTTTTTTAACATGAAATGAATGAAATTCCCTGACTTTTCCAGGCATGTTCTAAGAAAATTCCAGTCTATCCGTCTAGTGCGAGTTGGCTGTGCTGAGAGATAAATTAATTATGGCACCACTTGAAAAGACAAAAATTTGCCAATTACATAGACTTATCCCCAAAGGATTACTATTATAACTATAATAGGGATTGTTTTTTTCACTGAAGATTGTGATTAGAATCTGCCCTATCTGGAAGAAAAAATGTCTTTCTTGCAGACACTTTGAAGCTAAACGATAGAAAGAAATCTATTTAATGATGTTTTTAAATAAATTCAGGGGTTTTATATTTATTTTGCAGCATACATGAGCAAAAAATATGTGCATTAAATTTCGTGATGGTATGCCATCATACTGCTAGAATTAGTTTCAGGAGTATGTCAGGGAAAATTGCCTGAAATTTGAAAGTATTATTAACTAATAATAAATAAATTTTGAGGTTTTAATTACTTAAAGATTAGAAACTGAATTACAATAATTAATGATATTTTGGCGAATATAATTATATTAAATGGTTAGCCTATATGACTGATTACTACTTTTTTATTTTAAAAAAATAACAAATAAGGCATTCATTAAAAAAAAAAAAAAGTTTAAAAGGTATTGTTGTAAAATTCTAGCATATGGTACGGCCTTGGCACGATTTTGAAAATTGTTGCCACCATCAAAATGACCCATTTACTGCTCATCATAAATGTCCGGTTTACTGCTTATCATAATGTCATACCTGTGTGTATCATATACTGAGATTATCTGAATTTTGCTTTATACGAGAATGGGAAGGTATTTCCTTTCGTTCAACATGCACTGCATGTGCGCATGCGAATCTCTTGATTCTCGAGGTTACAAGAAACCAAAATTGCTGGAAACCAGCTTGCCTTTCTAAAAGACAATATGATTGAAACTACAAAAACTGGCTCTACGCAAGCTGCCTGAGTGATACTCATATGATACAAAATTTGCCAAGAAAGTGATCACTTCCAACAATGGCGTAAAAATCACTTTTTGAGGGGGGATCACTGTATGAAATTCCCTGATTTTTCCAGATCTTGACTAAAATATTTTAATTTTCTGACTTTTCCCTCACATTTTTAGTCAATTTTTGAATTCCCTGACTTTTTCTGGTTTTTCAGGTAGCGTGGCAACCCTGTTATATGCTCAACTATCTGAAATTTTCAAGTTACCAGAATCTGACATTCCCCAGCTTTCCCAATAGTGCACCTTTTACTGTATATATTTGTTTAGTTTTTTTAAATGAGTACTTATGTGTTATTAAAACCACCTCAGTAGAAGTCATCACACGCTTAACTCTGGCAACCAGTCATATAACCATTAGTGCCAGTACTATTTTCACATACATTCCTTTTGTTGTATTCCAAGTTCTAACAGTTTTTATAAACAAGTCATAATATTTTTTGCCTTAATTTTAAAATAAGCATTTGTGGAATTTGCCAGCAAAAGAAGACACTGGTATAAAATTTTTGTGGGAATATGTAATTCCGCGAGAAAATCTATATGAAACTGTAAGAAGATGCATTTTGGTAGACAGTTGTTGTTGCCGAGGTTTGCGACAACAACGGGATGATGCACATGATGTATTTTTAAGCATGATGTATTTTTTTTAACAGACCACTGTTTTCTTGGGGAGAATAAAAGCACAAAAAAAAAAAAAAAAAAAAAAAAAAAAAAAAAAATAGAGAAAGATCTGGAAACAAATGTAAGAATTTTCTCATTCTTTTTAGTGTATCACATAACCCTTATTTAATAATTAAAATTTACTTAATTGTATGTTGATAATGTTTGTCTACGTATGATAAATATTGATAGTTTGGGAATCATTTTAAGGAAAAGGTGCAAAAACCACCAACTTACACCCATTAACTTAACTTTAAACTTTGCAACACTAAAAAAATCACCAAATTGCACCACATTATTTGCATTAATATGTTAGTAGCATTAAATCTACTTGCAAATGATAGCAATTTATTTGTATACTCTATACATCAAACACATTTTTAATTTCTTGTATCCCTAATATTATATTGCTAGTTTAGTATTATGAATTTTTTAAACTTGTTTGTATATCTCATATACCATGCAGACATTTTTAACGCTTTGTTAACATGTAATCTTCATTAAATCTTTCTTCAAGTTTCAAATACTGCATTATAAATATTATAACTATAACCCTAATACAATGTTATTGCTCGAATGTTATCGACTTTCTAGAAAAATTACAACTTAAACATTCAATTACAATAGTAAGCTTCACAACTACAGATTTTCATTCATCAACTGTAAAAATAAAACCATGACCTTCTATAGACCAAGAAACAGATTCTTTTCCCAATGCAATACACAACATTGTGTAATTACCTTATTTTATACAGCCTATATAAGTTACAAAGTAATATATTTTTTTTAATTATAAAAAAAAAAAAAAAAAAGTTTTAAAAATAAAAAAAAAAAAAAAAAAAGTTTCAAGACGGGAGGTCTCATGTAAGATTTTTTATTAAAAGGAACAGAAGGAAAGCTTTGTTTTAAAATGTAAATACATAAAACAGTAGACACCTGATTAATCAAGGTTAAGTTAGGCAGCCTGGGGGCAGGGTGGATTAAGTTAATCCAAAATCACAGTTAATCTGATGCAAGTTAAAAAAAAATAAATAAATAAAAAAGTCTGAAAAAGGGGAGGTGGAAAAGTGTAATGTTGTAAAGACATAAGGTTAATTGGAAAAGGAGGAAAGATGAAAAATTAGCAATCGCCTTCACCGGGAATCTAACCACAGGCCTTTGAAATACCGGCTCAATGTGCTGACCACTACACCATGAAGACTCACCAAGAAGGTGGGAGAAATAACCACATAATGTAAAGAAACACGAGCTTGTCTCTTTAACTCGTCATGTGATATAAACACTTCCATTTCTGATACCTCTTTGAATCCTTTCTTTATACTTTTTCCCCCACTATGAAGGGTCTTTTAAGGTTACGATCTGGGGTTCTATTACACTTTGCATTGCTTTTATAGTTTATAATTCGCATACTTCCCTTTCTTTTTCGGAAAGACACAACTTCAGTTTATTATGGCGAGCAAACCTTATTTATCAGATGAAGGATATATTCGCATGCTAAACGAGGCAATTAGTGCTATGAATGAGAGTTATGATTCAGTTTCCAAAAAGTTAGATAACGATATTTATAGTGATTCTCATATGGACATTATGTCAGACACTGAGCTCACTGACTGTCCACCATCCAGTTCACAAGAAAGATTTTGCTACTTCTTTAAGTAGTCTTTCTTGTAATTTTTTTCTTATTAATTTAAAAGTTTATTAATGCATTTTATCAATTAAAACTTTGGAATAATTTGAATAGTGCTTCTGAAAACAAATTTCTCAAAAAAAGAAATTTCTTTTATATATTTTCATGCAAAGTAAATGGAAAAAATTATTAAACGCTAATTTTAAGTTAGATGATAGATTAAGTAATAATCTACAAAAATTATGACATTAGTATGTAAACTTTTCTTTTCCTAAAGTTTAGCAATGCAAAACCCCTGTCCTGTGGGATGATTCCTTTCGACTCCCATCTGTCCCATGGGAACATTTCAAACAAAGGTGCGACATCTTGAAAGGGTAAGACTGGACATCCCAGTGAAGGGCATGCATGTTTATCTGGAAGTGAAGATAGCACACTAACCACGATGTGGCCAGCAGCTGTACCAATAGTTTCACTACAACTCGCAAAAAATAGAACTTAGTTTTGGGATTGCCATCGTATAATTCAGCCACAAAATTACAAAAATTTGAAATCTAGCATATGTTTAGAATTCCTGATGCAGTAAGCATTAATTGATGGCAAACATTAAACATTCTC